TCCTAGCACTGTACCTGCTGCCACACCCTGGTCTAACACTAAACCTAAGCATTTTGCCAAGTCCTCCCAAAGGTTTTCTACAGAAAGCCAACAATTTCAGAAAGAAGGAGCTTGGGAAATGGCTCAGTCAATAAAGTGCTTGCCACTCAAACATGAAGACTGAGTTTGGACCACCAGAAGCCACATGGGAAACCAGGTGCAAGAGTCCACACCGTCATCTTAGAGCTGAGAAGGTGGACACACTGAGCACTGCACTCACTGGCTAGCCAACAGGACCAAGTGCTCCAAGTTCAGTGGGCAGCCAGGCACAATGACACATGTCTTTAATTCCAGCACCAAGAGTCAGAGGCAAGCAGACTTCTGAGTTCAAGGCCAGCCCTGGTCTACATAGTGAGTCCCAGGACAGCCAGAGTGAGGTCCTGTCTCAAAAAAATCAAACAAACAAAGGTAAAGAGTGACCAAGGAAGACACCTGATGCCAACTTCTGATCTCCAAATGCACGTACACGTGAACACATACATACACATGAAGCACACACACAAAATCTCAGAAAGAATAACATCCATACCTCTAATTCAATGAAGTCACATAAATAAAGTTCTCATGACCAATAATTATGGCAGGGATTTTATTATTAAGATTTATCCAATAGTCACGTATTCATTTATTACAGAGAATACAAAAGGCTAAATAAGTCTTCAGTGTGTAATGATATCATACAATAGCTTGACAGAATACACAATATATGATGTATTCCAGGTTTCATGTGAAAATCTTACAGTAATGAGGAAATACAGGATATCAGCAAATATATCGTAGTATAACATAAACTCATACACCTAAAAAACTATAGGCTAACTATATGGCTATTTATTCTTCCTTCTAACAGTCCCCCCTATTAATTAAAGTAAAAAATGGATTTCAAAATACAAAACAAGAGAAAGAAGATGAGGAGAAGAAAATAGCAATCAGTAAATGAGAAACCTCAACAAATTTCTGGGAAACAGAACGTAGATGGAAACTGGAACGTGACCGTACAGTGCACTCATTGCCTCTCACAGTATTTGAGAACATGATTGATGGGTGGGAAAAAAGGCTTCATCCTTCCAGATATCCAGTGTGAGGAAATGAAAGAATGAGACACGGAGCTATGAACAGGGAGAGTAACTAAAAGCTCCTCAGGGAACAGTCCATACACCTTCCTGCCTGACGATAGCCAAATGTGTACTCCCAGGAAAAAGAAAAAATACAGGAAGCTCACATTTAAAAAATGATAAAAACTGTTTTGATGATAGCTAAACTTCAAAATAGGGCATTCATGGGTCCCCCACACGAAGAGCTGGCCCAATGTGCACTTGCACACTCAGGGGATCCCCCACACGAAGAACTGGCCCACCATGCACTTACACACTCAGGGGGTCCCACACACAAAGAGCTAGCCCACCGTGCACTTGCACACTCAGGGTCCCCCACACAAAGAGCTAGCCCACCTTGCACTTGCACACTCAGGGTTCCACCACACAAAGAGCTGGCCCACCGTGCACTTGCACACTCAGGGTTCCCCCACACAAAGAGCTGGCCCACTGGGCACTTGCACACTCAGGGTTCCCCCACACAAAGAGCTGGCCCACCGGGCACTTGCACACTTAGGAATCCCCCACACAAAGAGCTGGCCCACCAGGCACTTGCACACTTAGGAATCCCCCACACAAAGAGCTGGCCCACGGTGCACTTGAACATTTAGGGTTCCCCCACACAAAGAGCTGGCCCACCGTGCACTTGAACATTTAGGGTTCCACCACACAAAGAGCTGGCCCACCGTGCACTTGCACAGTTTATGAGTCCTGCTCAACTATCCAGAAGCTCTACACGGTATGTTTTCTACTATCTTAAACATACATGACGGTTTTGTTTGAGGACTATAGAACAGCAGCTGTCAACATGAGGGTCATGATCCCTTTGGAGTTGCCTGAGACCACTGAAAAACACAGATATTTACCTTACAATTCTTAACAGTAGCAAAATTATAGTCATGAAGTGGCAATGATAAAATGTTATGGCCGGGGTCACCACAACATGAGGAACTTTATTAAAGAGTCACAGTGTTAGGAAGGCTGAGAATCACTGCTGTAGAGCAACAGGAAGAGAAAGGATGATATAAAATATGCTCCCTGTGGATACTAAAATAATGACAGTTAAGAAAACACATTTTAAAAATATTTTTTACCTTTTCTTAAGAAATCATTCAGTAATATAAAGAATCTTTAATATGCAGGCCTATAAAACAAGGTAAAATCTAAGATAATAAATGCAGAAGCAGACCCAAAGAGTCATTGTGCAATTTATCAACAATACCCTGGAGACAATTATAGACAACAAATTATCAATCTTGAAAATGCAAAGGAAAAAACAGAAGACAAGTGAAAGCAGCGCAGGAAAAAAGAGAGAAGCAGGGACTTATCCCATCAAGTGTGAAGCCAAAAGACATTATCTGTGGTTCATGGGAATCCAGATAAACGAAGCCCTCATCACTACAGCAGAGATCATCCTAGCTGATAACAAGGCTGAGTCAGGCACTTACCAAGAAGTTTTGGAACTGTTCACTTAATTGTTTGATGCAGTGTTTAAAGTGACCCTGAGGGAGGGGCTGAGACATTGGGGGAGGGGGGGTCTACAGCTGTTGACCGTGGAAAAGTTTTTCTCTAGCCTTTGCGAGGCCCTGAATTTGATGCCCAGATTAAGAAAAAAGTACCAGTTTTAAACTACAAAGTAAATGACACAGGAACCAATAGTGGTGATGTACTTCCATTGCAGAGGAAGAGAGAGACTGAAAGCAGGACAGGAAGTCAGAAGATAGCATCTAAACCGGGCCCGTCGGGAAACAGGCAAAAATATATTACTGAGAGAAATGGGAATCCTCAGAAGAACTAAACTGAAACCACTTCTTAAAATTATGATGGTTTCCTCTGGAAATAGGAGTGGGAGGCAATGTGGGACAGAAGACCAATGCTTCCTTATCTCTGTAATTTCAGCACTATCTCCATGTCATTCGCAGGAGTGACTTACTTTGATCATTTCTCTTAAACTTAGTTAATAATTTCTTTTTTAAAAAAAAAGTAGCAATATAATCTTGTCCACTACTTCACATAGGCAAAATGTTTTGTGCTTTTGTGGTTTCCTGAGAATGGTCTAATAATGCAAGGTTAATGGGTCACCTATAGCCAGGCGGTGGTGGCACAGGCCTTTAATCCCAGCCAGAGGCCAACCTGGTCTACAAAGTGAACAGGCATGGCTGTTACACAGAAAAACACTGTCAAGATGATTTAAAAAAAAAATAGTCACCTTGTCCTAAATTTCTCATTTAATGTTGTTACTTTTGGTAATAAATACAAACCAATTCTAGAGAAAACTGAGATGTGGTACCTCCTGGTTAATAAGGGTAGAATTCACTGTCAATTGTCCAAAAACTCCAGTTTACCCACCCATTCCATCTCGTGTGTGCGTATATGTGTGTGTGTGTGTGTATACACATACGTGCAAGTACAAGAGCAAACATACAAGTGCATGTGGAGGCCAGAGGACAACTTTAGGGATCATACCTCAGGAGTCAGCCACTTTGTTTGCTGAGACTAGGTCCCTCATTGGCCTGGTACTTGCCAGGTAAGCTAAGCTGACTGACCACAAACCCCAGGGATCTACTGCTCTCTGTCTCGTCTCCAACACTGGGATTGTAAGCATGTGTCCCTGCCCAACATTTTTCAGTGTGGGTTCTGGGGATCAAACTCAGCACTTTATGGCCTGCACTTCTCCCTCACACATCCGCCTGATCTCTAATACCCACATTTTTCATTCCTCTTTTCTTAAGAACAGATCGATTTGAATACCCTGCTCACAAGTATAGGTTTCAGAGAGAAAAGGCCGGGTGCAATTACTGACACTAGAGAAGCAGAGCTATTATCATGTTCACAGTAGGCAAGAGCCTCGGTGCTGTGCTGGTGACAGAGAGGAGCTGATACAGCACAGACAGATGTTACAGATGCTGGCCTGAATCCCAGGCATGCACTTGTGCGCCATCCAGACAACGTTGGAAACACACAGTATAGACACTCAGGCCCCTCGCCACACATATTCAGTTTAAGCTGAATAACATATGTCCTTAATTTCAGAAAAGCAGCCAATATCTAAAACTGATTTTAAGAAAAGAAAGTCATGTAAAATGTCTGATTTCCACCTTCTGAGGCAACAGACGCAGTTTCCTCAGAGACAGGTCATCCCAAGCTGCCCACACTTGCCTGCTTTCCTTGTTTATATTATCAGTTTGCCCCGTGAAGGCCACTGGCATTTCTAACTCTTGCTATAAAGGTCATAGCATGTTGACACACGTAGCCCTTGCCCAGAATCTTAGAGAAAGGATTATGCCAACAGGTTTTGATAGCAATGGGGACATCAGTCATTCTTACCTAAGGTAATTTAAATAATGGAACATTTTCTTCTTTTTTATATTTCTATTTATTATATTGGGATGGGGTGGGGTCCTACAGCACACACGTGAAAATCAGAGGACAACCTGCAGGATTCAGTTCTCTCCTACCATGTGGATCCAGGAATTGAACTCAGGTGGTCAGGATTGATGGGAGGCGCCTTTCCCACTGAGCCATCTTGCGGGCACAAAGCAATGAGCCTCCTTAATGAGGGCTTGTCTTAGCCCTCACTCCATAAAAATACACACACACACACACACACACACACACACACACAAGCATTGTTGTGCTTGCCTCAAAATTAAAGGTTTCTATATGGGCCTATTCCACTGCAAGAGAATCCTTGCCACTTGCTTCACTATGAACACAACCAGGACCGGATGGCAGATAACAAGACAGTAACTGCTAGTGGGCAGTATCAGAAATCACTCTGAACAGGCAGAAATTAAGCGGAGAGCAGGGCTACCAGCAGCTAAACCTGCATCTCTATTCTGAACAAGGCGGCCAGCGTTTACTCACACTTTAACGTCTCCCCAGCGTACGGAATGTGCAGCTTGAAGCGGTCGCAGTTGGGTCCAGGAGTCAATGACGTACAGCTTAAGAAATTCAGGGGAGAGAAAAGATTTTTAAGAACAAAATTGAAAAGCCCACATATTTATAACACTTAATAAAGAAAATAAAAAATAATTTTTATACATAAAAGGCTAAAAGAAGAAAATGAAAGCCTTTACTGGTCATGAAATCTAAGACAATATATGAGCCCTAATCTGAGACAATTATGTATCTCACAATAAAGCCTCCATGCTTTCTAACAACAAACACTAAGTGCTTCAAGTACCTCTAGAAAAGAAGTCTATCTTGACTTTTAAAGCCTTGTATATCATCCAGAACTCCTTGGTGCCAAGAACTGTAAATGCAGAGAAATTTTATGGTCATATTTTAAACATAGATTCTTAGCTTTCACTCTGTTCATACAAAAAGAGCCCACTTTTGGCCTTTTTCTAGCGGCAGATGGTTTTCTTTCTTTCTTCAAAGGTACGATGCTTTCTCTAGCTCTGGCACACCATACCACTCATCTGCAGGAAAGCACAAAGCGTGGTACTTGATTTCAGATAAAATGCAAATGTGAAAGATGGGACTGAGTCAGCCAGCCAGGTCTCAACATTTGGGAGTTTTAGAACTCTAGGACTTTACGAGGTTTGACAATGGCCTCTGCTTCTCCTACAGGTTTGTTTTCTAAGGTATCTCTACAAGTGAGAGCTTCATCTGCATGACATACACAGCCCTGATCTCTTAGCTGAATAAAAGACGGTGGTGGTGCACACCTTTAATCCCAGGACTGGGGAGGCAGAGACAGGCGGATCTCTGTAAGTTCAAGTTCAGCCTGGTCTACAAGAGCTAGTTCCAGAATAGGCTCCAAAGATACAGAGAAACCCTGTCTCGAAAAACAAAACAAAAAAGACTCATAGGAAGCTGATGAAGAGCTCTAGGTGGGCACCGGCTCGGTTCAACCATGCCCAACTTTCTCATTTTATTTCCCACATTGTTTGCTCTATGCTGTAGAGGCAGCAATCTTTTAAAAACAGAGTCGGTTCAATAATAGGATTCTTCTGATGAAAATCCTCCTCTGCGCCTGGTAGAAAAACCGACGCGACTGCCGCCACTTGCAGGCCCCTGAACTACCTGCCTCTTACTGGTTATCATCACCTTTTGCTCTTCTGGTCCCGTTTGCTGTGGCCCGTCTGCACTGCCCAGACGTCCTCCTTAACTGTACCAGCCTAGTCTTGCTTTTGTGCCTTTGCACATGCTGTCCCCTGCCTGGACTGCGCGCCCCAGGACTTTGCTTGTCCCTCCAAGCGTCTCGAGTTTGGATTTCATCTCCTCTGAGGGTCCCCTTGATTTTCCAGTGTGGAGCAGCACCTGCTTTATCGCAGAACCCTGAATTTTTTTTTCCTTCCTATCCCTGGCTTATCTGTTATTTTTCATCCTCACTGGAACTGAAATACCGGTAGACTGTAGGCTTTGGCTGTCTATCTGCTCGGTATTCCTGATGTGCAGAGCAATGCTCAGCACCCTCCTCCAAATGAACTGAATGAGCTGGCACTGGACCACACAGCTGAAGAAAACGTGCTTTCGGATGAAGACCCGTGCAGTAAGCGCATCTTTCATACACTTCCCCTCACCTCCCGAAACTGGAAATGTGCTATTTTACAGTCTCACACGGGAAAGCTAAGAAAGGGACATCAATTCTACACATCTGAAAGTGGGAACTACAACTGGGAACTCTTTTTTTTTTACCTAAAATTACATTTTTACTATGTGTGTAGGCATACACAGTCATGTGTGTGCACTCCGGTATGTCGTGGCACACATGTGGAGGTCAGAGAACAACTTGTGGGAGTCGATGCTCTCCTTCTACCATGTGAGCCCCAGGGACTGCACTCCGGTCAAGTTTGGCAGCAAATAGCTTTATCCAATGAGCCACCTCGCCAGCCCTCAAGTGAGAATTCTTGCTAACATCAGAAGAGGTAGTTTTTTTCCTATTACTACTTTTCTAACACTTTACTTCAGAAACGTCTGCAGTTACCAATTTGATTTAAGAAAATGTTGAGCATAAGCTTCATGTACCCTCAGCCTCACAGTCTCATCTAAGCACATGCCTCCTAGAATTGTTCTGTGTCTGTTTGCTAACTGTGGCTTGTTTTCTCAATCCAACTGGAAGGCTTTAGTGCTGGTAACTGTTACATACATTAAAAAAACAAAACACTGACCACAGTGCTAGGCACTCGACATGCATACTGATAACCACAACTCAAAAACTGTCACTGAAGCATACAGGCCTCACGGGTTCTCAGAGGGGGCACTGGCATTAGAAATAGTGTCCAGGAAGGACACTGTGTGACTAGGTGGGCATTCCAACCAGCATATATGCAGATAAGGATTTGCTGAATGAGCCAGGCATAGTGGCGCAGGCCTTTAATCTGAGTATTTGGGAGGCAAAGATAGGCAGATTTCTGTGAGTTTGAAGCCAGAGTGATTGACACAGACAGCATGGCCAGGGCTACATAGAGAGACCCTATGTTAAAAAATAAATGAAGAAAGGGACTGAGGGAGAGAGGGAGGGAGGGAGGGAGGGAGGGAGGGAGGGAGGGAGGGAGGGAGGCTTTGCCGAATGGATGTACCAGCCTATCAAGCCTGGAGCTTGTTCATGATAAAAACTGATGCCTTGCTGGTACTGGGAGACGCTCTCATCCCATCTTGAGAAGAGCAATGTGTGATTATTGGGGAAGACCCTCCCTTAGTAAGGTCAAACACTGAACTCAGAATTTAAACTTTAAATAATTGCTTAAAATTTTTCTAACATTCACTGGGTATGCATTAAGTGGCAACCACTATTCTTAGTTCTGGAATTAAACTAGTTCCATTCACAGTAACCTTTTAATTTGGGCACAATTATCATTTCCATTTAGAGAAGACGTGAACCCCCTGGATAATATGTAAGTGACTTGTAGGAGGTGATAGAGCTATAGTCCAGACCAAAGATGTCTGACTGCAGAGCCCACTGTACAAATCACCACACTAAGCCATCTCTCAATTAAAGTGATGACCACTAGAATTAATGAAAAAATACAAAGTGGACATTTTTAACAAATGATATTCTATTAACAAAGTACCAGCAATGCAAAGCAAGTGCTGATAACCAAAAAGAGGTTGTGATCAGAAAGTAAAGGGAGGGGACAGAGGACATGAAAACCAATTATAATTGTGTGTGTGTGTGTGTGTGTGTGTGTGCATAAGGGCTGGCAAGACAGCTCAAGAGGTAAAGCACCTGTCACAAACCTGCCAGCCTGACCAAATATAGTAGGTATGTATCTCTTGAACATTGTCCCGTGACTTCCACATGCACTGTGACATGCTCCACCCACACACATATACACATGTATGCACACACACACATACACACCCAAATGTAATTTTTCAGTTAGAAAATATATATGTGTAATAAGAGTACCAAAAAATCCATTACTTTGTATGTTAACTAAAATTTAATAAAATATGCATTTCATTAATATGCATTAATGAAAATCACTTATAAATATGTATAAGAACCATATTTGCACACATCAACCAATGACATAAAAGAGAATAAAATCCTTGACACTTGATTCTTGAGATCTACAATGCTGATACTCTTGATTCATTTAGCAGATTATTCATGAAAAGTCAAAAAAATGGTGAAAAGTAATTTTTATTGATTCCTCTTTAAAACTATTTAAACTATTTAAAATCTATTCCTAGTTATTGAGATATGATTCAAATTATTAACTTTTCTGTATAAATAGAAAATGGCCGATTTCACTGTATTTCATAGGATTTTAGTTGGCCAAACACTAATGGAGATTAATCAAGATACATACAGGCATCTCACAATCTTTAGAAACATCAACATTTTTAAGACAATGCAATATACAAGAAAACATGCTTTCTGACTTAAGGTTAAACCTACTTAATTCAATACCGTCTAAAAAAGTAGTGAGTCTGATCATTTCTGTTCTTTAAGGCATCTAAGAAGAGGAAAATAGATGAATTCAGGGTCCTTCCCTGAGAGTGTGTCAGTTTCCTCCTCCAGGGTATTCATTCACACTTGGCATGTTCTCCTACATAGCTTCCTGTTTTCAAGATAATGACGTTTGTGCTTCACCAACAACACTTAACATCCGCTAAGACGGAAGCCTTCAGCTTTGGCAACCTTAAGTAACAGGTGACAGGGAAATAGAATAGGCTCCGAGACCAGTAATTGCCTTGTAAATAGCACGAGTCACATGCTGCAGTGAGTAACTGGTAGTTGATATTTGCCACGGTTTTAATTTTATAGAATGAAGTGGTTTTTTTTTTCAGGATTAAATCAAACATCAATAACTTTACTCACACTAAATCAGCTTCAAAATGACCATAGCATCCAAACTGGCTGACATCTTACTGTAACATCTATCTAAATAATCTACAAAATGCAAAGGTATTCAAACCAGTTCTAGGACTCTCAGCCCTTTAATGCAGTTACCGCACATACAGCCAACTAAATCAAACTGCACAAGGTGAAGTTTACACCCCCCTCAAAGGAAACATGTGAATTAAAACTGGTAAGAAGGAAGTAGCCACATTATACTGTAGTAAATCTCTTTCACCATTCTCCAGGAAATGGGACTTCCTTGACACACCACATGTATATCTCTGTACCACTAAAACCTAAAAGGTAAATTTCCAGAACCTACTAGGAAATTATGCATTTAATTCCTAGAATAGAATTCCAAATAACCATTACCAAAGTAAGTGAGTCATCCTAGGTTTTTTCCTAAACACCACAAAAATAAAATATTCAATGTGTTTAAGTGTGTTTGCCAATTTGTGTGGCATCAACTGTTATTCCCAGTTTCCATGTAATATCTCCATTTATAAATGATAAATTTCAACTATACCTTAGAATATGGAGTAGAAGATGTTGGTTGATATTCCTCTGACAAAAGTCAGATTTAAAATGCAATGATTGTAGTAGAAATGATAAGCTCAAACACTACTTTTTTGTTTGTTTGTTTTG